GAATAGCCAAAGTAATCTTGAGAAAGAAGAATGGAACTGGAGGAATCAACCTGCCTGACTTCAGACTCTACTACAAAGCCACAGTCATCAAGACAGTATGGTACTGGCACAAAGACAGAAATATAGATCAATGGAACAGAATAGAAAGCCCAGAGATAAATCCACGAACCTATGGTCACCTTATCTTCGACAAAGGAGGCAAGGATATACGATGGAAAAAAGACAACCTCTTTAACAAGTGGTGCTGGGAAAACTGGTCAACCACTTGTAAAAGAATGAAACTAGAACACTTTCTAACACCATACACAAAAATACTGATTCTTATGGTGGTTCATCAATTAGCATTAAAAGCTAGCTGTTGAAAGTATATTATAAAGGAATGAGATTACTCTCTCATGAGCCTTAAGAAAACAGTGTACTAAACTTCTTCACCTATAAGTGAAAGAGGAAAATTTTCCCTAGTTACTTCTAATCTTTCAAGCTAGTTATTGATAATAGTTCTTATAATGAAGGATAAAATTATAAAAAGAAAATACATTGACAAATAATTCTGTTGCAGAGTTTGTGTGTGTGTGCTCATCGCTCATTCCTGTCAGACTCTTTGCAACCCCATGGACGGTAGCCCACCAAGCTCCTCTGTCCGTGGGATTCTCCAGGCAAGAATACTGGAGTGGGTTGCCATTCCCTTCTCCAGAGGATCTTTCTGACCCAGGGATCAAACCCAGGTCTCCTGCTTGGCGCAGATTCTTTACCATTGGAGCCACCAAGCAGCCCTGTTGGAGAGTTTATTTGACAATAATAACTATGGCTCCTACATATAAAAGTACACTTACAAAAATTCTCAATGAAATGTTAATGAATCAAACACAACAATGCATGAAGAGAATTATACATCACAGTCAGGTGGCATTTATCATAGGTATGCAAGGCTGGTTCAATATTTGAAAGTCAATTAATTAATTCTTCATATCAGCAGGCTCAAAAAGACAAGTGTCATGATCATATTAATAGATGCAGAAAGAGCATTTGCAAAACCCAACACCTACTTGTGGTAAAAAAAAAAAACCCTCCCAGTAAACTAGAAATAGATAACTTTCCCAACCTGATAGAAAATATCTACCAAAAAGTTTACAGCTAACATCATATTTCATTGTGAGACACTAGGAACTTTATTGCCAGGAACAAGGCAATAATATCCCCTTTCACCAGTCCTTCAACATCATACAGGAAGCCCTAGCTATTGCAATAAGATGAGGAAATAAAAGATATCTGACTGGGAAAGATGAAACAAAACTGTCAAGAATCAACAAAAAATATCCTGGTGCTAATAAGTTATTATAGAAAGATTGCAGGATACAAGGTTAAAAAGTCAATCACCTTCCTATATACCAGTAATGAACGAGCAGAATTTGAAATTAAAAACAGTATAATTTATGTTAGCATCAAAAACAAAATACCTGGGCATAAATTTAATGCAATATATATAAGACCTATATGGGAAAAATTATGAAGCTTTGATAACAAAATCAAAGAACTACATAAATAGAGAGATATTCCACATTCATGGATAGAAGACAGAATATTAACAACATGTTAGCTCTTCCCAACTTGATTTTACAGTTCCATGTCATATATATACATATATACATACATATACATATATATATATAGAGAGAGAGAACCACCAACTCAATGGACATGAATTTGAGCAAATTTCAGGAGATAGTAGAGGACAGAGGAGCCCACTGTGCCGTGGTCCATAGGGTCACAGAGTTGGACATGACTTAGCGACTAATCAACAACAATCTCAAGCAAAACCCCAGTAATTTTGTGGATATTGACAAACTGATTCTAAAGTTTATGTGGAGAGGCAAAGATCAAAAAGAGCCAAAATGCCATTGAAGAAGAACAAAGTTAGAGGACTGACACTACTTACAAAGCTGTCATAATCAAAACAATGATATTGGTGAAAGAATAAACAAATAGATCAAGGGACTAGAAAAGAGAGCCCAGAAATGCACAAACATAAATGTAAGCAGCTGATTTTTGACAAAGGAAAAAAGGCAATAAAATGGAGCAAAGATAGTCTTTAAACAAATGGTGCTAGAACTGGACATCTACATGAAAAAAATAATTTTATACAACATTATATAATATAATAATCCAAAGTGAATCATAGCCTTAAGTGTAAAATGTGAAACTATAAAACTTCTAGAAGATCACACTGAAGAACATCTATATAATCTCAAGTATGGCAATGACTGTTGAGCTATAACACCAAAGACACACTCCATTAAATCATTAGTAAGTGAGAATTCATTTAAATTAAAAACTTCTATAAAAGACAATTTCAAAAGAATGAGAAAACAATCTACAGACAGGAAAATATTTATGAAATATCTGAAAAAGAAGACAAAGAACTCTTAAAAATCAACAATAAGAAAACAAATAACCTGATTAAAAAATAGGCCAAAGATCTTAATAGATACTTCATCAAAGAAGATGTGGAGATGGTAGATAAGCATTTGAGAAGATGCTCCACATCCTATGTCACCAGTTTTAAAATACAAATTAAAATAACAGTGCAATGCCACTACATATGTATTAGTATGGCCAAAGTCCAGAACATTGACAGTATCAAATTTTGTCAAGGAAGTAGAGTAACAAAAACTGTCATTAATTGCTGGTGGGAATGCAAAATGGTGCAGTCCCTGCGGAAGATAGTTTGATGGTTTCTTTGAAAATTAAACATATTTTATCACATGACCCAGCAATTGTTGTGCTCTTTGATATTTACCCAAAGGCACTGAAATCTTATGTACACACAAAAACCTGCACATAGACATTTACAGCAGCTTTATTCATAACTGCCAACTCTTTGAAGCAAGTAAGATGCCCTCCAAGTACCTCCAAGATTCTTGTAGGAGGTGAATGATAAACTATGATACACTGAGACAACAGAATATTATTTGGCACTGAAAAGAAATGAGCCATTCAAAGACATGAAAGAAATTTAAATGCATATTATTAACTGAAAGAAGCCAATCTCAACAGGCTAAACAATATATGATTCCATTGATATGACATTTTGGAAAAGGCAAAACTATGGAGAGAAAAACATCAGTGACAGCCAGAGGTTGGGAGAAGGCCATGAATAAACAGATCACAGAGGATTTTTAGGACACTGAAAATACTCTATATATTATATTGATGAATGTGTGTGTATGTTAGTCATTTAGTCGTGTCTGACTCTTTGTGACCCCATGGACTGCAGCCTACCAGGCTCCTCTGTCCATGGGAATCTCCAGGCAGGAATACTGGAGTGGACTGCCATTTCCACATTTGTCCAAACTCACAGAACATATTGCAGCAAGAGTGATCCTTAATGGAATCTATGGAGTTCCGATGATTATGACGTGTCAATGTAGGTTCATCAGCTGTAACAGTTGTACCATCTGGTAAAGGATGTTGGTAATTGGAGAGGCTATGCGTGTGTGGGGGGAGGGGTACATGGGAAACCTCTATATATCATTTTTTCTGTTAATTTAAAACTGTTATAAAAATTAAGTCTTTAATTTTTTAAAAGTATGCCTTTTTACTTATAGGTTCTGCTTTATTATGATGTTCTCGCAAGAACTCTGCAAGGTACTTGCATTTATTCAAATTGTATTTTTACAAATGAGAAAAGTGATGCTTAGATATGTTAAGTACCTTCCTCATTATCCTAGAGGTAAAAAGTGGTGTAGACTGGACGGGAATTTAAGTTTGACATTAAATCTACATTTTTTCCTACTTTATCAGGAGTCAGTAAACTATAGCCTATGAGCCAAATAAACTCTCCAGCTGTTTTTGGTAAGTAAAGTTTTATAGGAACATAGTCACCCTAATTATTGTTTATGGCTGCTTTCACTTCAGGAGAGCAAAGTTGATCAGTTGAAACAGATATCACACCCTAAAATTACTCACTACCCCTTTATGGAAAAAGCTTGCCAACACCTGGTAATACTATAACTTCACAAGGTCATACTTCATCCTGAATTACGTATTTGTGTTCAACTTTTAACTGACTTTAAAATATTAAGTGATAAATAGTATATAGAATGCACTCTGCTAAATACCATAATAAACACTGAAGATTATTTTTTTAAATAATATGTGTTTAAAATAAACACATTTAAAATAAATGTGTTATGTGCACATAAACAAATTGAAATTTCATATAATAATCTCAGAGAAAATAACAGAATTAATCTCTAAAAATTAAGTCATTTTATTTGCCCAAACTCATGGTTGAAAATGAAAACAAGTACAATGTTTTCCAGATGATAATCCTGCTTATTACCTCGAAAACAGCAATGTGTTAATTTAATAGTCAGTGGTTCTTGGGCTCATTCAAAACTAATAAATCAATATTATCCTACTAAAAAAATCTTAAAAGTATCTAAGTTATAAAGTAACTGAAATCAAGGAATGGTTACAAAGCCTGCACTTCCACAACTTGGAACACTGAGGACAAATGTAAAAATACTGATTATCTGAATGTCACTGATTCAGTATTCCAAATTCCACCTAAAAAGATACAATCCACATTTCACAAGGAAAAAACTGAGATTAACTCATTGACTTTTCCCTCTTGTAACATCTTTTAATCCAATGATTTTCTGAAAATATATTTTAAGATAGAGAGTAATTTAACTAGAGGTTTGTGGTAAGATTAAACCAAAATAAAAAGAGCCTATGAACAAGAGAAAAAATATGAGAAATATTGATAAAAATCATTCCAAGTATAACTTTTCTCCAGCCCATCTATATCAAAGAGACGATATAGCTTTCTTTCACCCCACAGACATAGACAGAGTATTCCATACAATCCATTATGCTCATCCTCCACTTTATTACTCATCCTTTGGCTGCTGTTGCTACACCTGCTACCAGAGAATGTGACCTAGCTCAGAGGAGAAAAAGAAGAGACAGAATGGGCAGTGGGTGAATGTATGCTCATGGGCCTGTTTGTATCCCTATAGATGAGTGTGTGTCTATGTGTATGCCTATTTCTTCACCCAAAGAATTCCAGGTGACTTGGGAAACAACACCCAACCTAACACAGTTTAAGATTAAAAAAAAAAAAAAAGAGTAGGGCTTCCCTGATAGCTCAGCTGGTAAAGAATCCGCCTGCAATGCAAGAGACCCTGGTTTGATTCCTGGGTCAGGAAGAGCTTCTGGAAAAGGAATAGGCTACCCACTCCAGTATTTTTGGACTTCCCTTGTGGCTCAGCCAGTAAAGAATCCAGTAGAAATGCGGGAGACCTGAGTTCGATCCCTGGGGAGATCTGTGTTCAATCCCTGGGTTGGGAAAATCCCCTGGAGAAGGAAAAGGTTATCCACTCCAGTATTCTAACCCGGAGAATCTCCATAGACAGTCCATGGGATCACAAAGAGTCAGGCGGGATGGAGCGACTTTCACTTCACTGCCAGAATACTCTGATGTGGGAATTTATAAACAAGGAAAAACAGTAAGCATCCAATTTATTGTATCATTTGATAAATGAACTATATAAATGTCTCAGAGGTATTAGCAGCCCTTAAGCACTTTCTTGAGCTTAGTTCCCAACTTACCAAGTGGTCACAAGAAGTAACTCCAAAGACTTGTCTGTCCTTTCCATTTTAGGGTCACAGTAGGTCTCTCTTTACATATCTCAAGATTATATCAACATCTTACTTTTAAGTTAGGATACACTGAAATTAGCATATATTATTCATGAAGATAAATCAAAAGCTCATGAAAAAGTTTGATTTTAAGATACTATTGAATATTTTCTAAGACAGAGTTTTTAAAACTGTCCTGAGTCCCGACCCAGGGATCAAACCCAGGTCTCCCGCATTGCAGGCAGACACTTTAACCTCTGAGCCACCAGGGAAACCCAACTTATGCATAGAAACATTCATTTTAAAAAAAGAAACAAAGTCCTAAATATTACTGCAAAATTAAATAGTCTGGAAAAACAAAATAGCCCCACTTTTTATATTAGCTCACATACACACATTCACCTACTTACACACACCTCTGATTCAGCCTATCACTTTGAGGAGCGGAGATGCAAAACTGAATCAAGTGAGAAACACCAGCATTTAAAGCATCAATCATTCTAACCCATCAATCCCAAATAAATACCAAAGTGGCATTCAGGGCTTACCTACCTACATAGAGAACACCCTCTTTTGTCTTTCCCGCTGCTTCTGCCACACCCTGCTTGGTTTTTTCAGCAGCCGCCACGACTCCCTCCTTGGCCTTTGAAAGTCCTTTCATGAAAACATCCATGGCTAACGAATTCCTTCACACCACACTGGAGAACACAAAATACACTTTGAGAACTTCTGCGTAAAAAACGAAATTAGAACCCCCCAAAGTAAAAACTATTGAAAGATCAGTAGAATCCTCAAAAGAGTGAGATCATCTTAAGCGTACCTCCACTTCAACCACTGGACAAAGGAGGCTTTTCTTAGCTTTTGCATTAAAAATTTAGCATCTCCCATCCATCTTGGCTGGATAAAGTCTAGCCGCCTAAACATGGATTAGGATGAATCATATGAGCTGTTCTTACGCGTTTCCTAAGTGGAACTGCACGAAAAGATAGACTCCTCTTTTAACTTCCCAGGGTCCAAATGGTGACAGTGTAAGTTAGAAGTGCGTTTAGAAGACATCACAGGAAAAGGAAAGGGACCTGAGGCAGTGGGTCAGGGACACGCTTAAATTCCAGAAGGCAGCTAACAGATCAATCACGAGTAGGGGAGGGAAGGAACCACTCACTCTGGGTGTGGCTGAACCTCAGGCCAACTGTGAGCCCACCGCCCTCGCTCTAATACACCCAACCACGCACCCAACCCAGGGCTATCAACCCAGAGCTTGCAGAAGGGCGCGAGTTCACAACCGCGGAAGCCTCGGGAGGCGCGCCAGCCGCCCGTGGGGGCGTTCTCAGCTCCCGGAACCCGGCCCCCACCCGGCGCCGCACCTGTTAACCCCTTATCACCTGTTGACTCGCCCTCAGCGCTCCGGCTTGGCTTAACCATTTGCCAAACGCAGGTGGTTTACTTCACAGAGAGAACAGAGAGGGCGGACTGGGGGCGGGGGGCGGTTAAAGCCAGCGACAAACAAAAGTTGAATACTCATACTCCCTGGAGCATCCTCGCGTTCCCCAAAGGAAAAGCTGATCCCTGAGAATCCAGATCTCTCGGCCTCTGAGGACCAGAAGAGGGAAGTAATCGAAGCGGGAGGAAAACAGGTCAATTTACGTTCCTCAAGCTCACCCGAGGGATAAGTACTCACCTCGGAGAGAGACTCGACTACAGCTGGTCCTCACTGCAGCACGCCCACCCGCGGCCCCCGACCCCTCGCGCGCGCCCCCGGGCGTCCGCAAGGACTCTCCCACCAGGTGTCCGCGACTTCCAAAGCTGCCCAGTTAGTTCCACAAGCCCTTACCAGGTTTCCTCGGCTCCTCGGAACTCCAATTTCTCCCCCACCCCCACTTTAAAAAAAATTTAAAAACAATTCCCAAAGGTTATTTAAGTGGGAAGAGAGAGGATAAAGGGCGCGCAGGAGAGGTGGAGGTGGCACCAGAAGAGGGGTGGTCCCCAGAGGAGGCGGCTGTCAGCGCAAGCCTGCGCTGAGAGGCGGGGGCCGTGGGAGGCAAACCCACAAACCTGCCGTCGGATTGCCAGTCCTCGTCCCCCGCACGGGAGGATTCGAGAGAAAAAGGCAGAAGGTCGGCAGGGAAGGGTGGAGGGGGGCGGGGAGAGCCGGGAAGAGCGCCAAGGATGCTAAAGGCGCGGCTCGGTCCCTGGGTCCGCTCTAAAGCCAGCACACACCTCACCCCGCGTCGCCGCGCTCGCTCGCTCGCCCCCGTTCCTTCCAGTCTCCGCGGTCCTCCTCCTCCCCTTCCTCTCGCCGCCCCCGCGGCTGATTTGTCAGCTCCTCTCCCCGCCTCTCTCCTGGCGCTCGCCGCTTTCCCAGCCGCGTGCAGTTCACTCCTCTCCTCGGATGGGGATGGGGGAGGGGGAAGACCGAACCTCCAACTCCCGCCTTCCGCCTGGACCTAGAGGACTGGAAGATGGGGTGCTCTGCGGCTCACCTCGAGTTCAGGGTCACGGGAGCTCTCGTGGAGATTCCGAGTGTTAGGCTTGGGCTGAAGTCTCTCCCTCTTTCCCATCATCCCGCCTCTCCCCCCACCCCCTTGTCTCCGCCTTTCCCTCTGGCTCCTCGCGGGGACCCCCCACGTCAGATCAAGCCTCGGGAAGCGGGGACTGTGACAGGTCGACCACCAAAGACACAGCCAGTCTCTCGAGGAGCTGCTGAAAGAGACAGGCAATCTAGGAAGCGTGCTCACATCAGCTCTGCCAAGAGCACGTTTCCCTCGGATCAATGAAGTGTGATTAACGGTCGTAGGACAAAAGGTTAACGATGCTTTTGTTTAAATATCCCCCAGATTTAGGCCTACTCTTAACCTCTCATGAGCCCGATATGGTCTCGCGGGCGGAGAGGAGACTAGTAAAGAAGAGTTACAGGTTGAAGAGGCAGGAGGAGGCTAGTCAAATCCTCTCTCCACCCCACTATCACCATTTTCTTCTCCACCAATCAGCGGCTGCCAGACGCTGTTTTCTTTTCCCATCAGTGGAACAAGGAATAAATATTCCCCAGCCGTCGAAACCAAACGGCTCTAAGGTTTTTCATTCTCAGAATGGGATTTACTTTCCAGATGCAGGTGCCTAGATGGAAGAGACATATCCAGCGTGATTGATTCTCCTGAACCAGTATATCCAATTTTTTCAGAGCCTTCTGAAAAGGGAGATTCTCTCAAC